TAGTGTCATTAGTACCAGCCAAATCCCAGAAGGGATGAAGTTGGGGGAAATTTTGTCTGCCATTAGAGCCAGACAAATCCCAGGTAAAGGTGAAGCAATGAAGCTGACCAGAGAATAATCCCAAACTCCCTTATAGGATCATTTTTATGTATCAGCATATTAAAGGACATACCTAGGAAGCTGTTGAATATTATATTTATATCCTCCCCTGAGATCTCCCCTATAACTCTGGCCTTAAGAAATCAGATAAAAATCCCTTAAGATAAAGAACCCAATATAGCTCTCCCTTAAGGACCCGGGTGCTCCCCAACCTCCCCCCCCCCCCTTCACCCTTTCTCAGGTGTGTACTTTTGCTTTCTTTTTCCTAAGCTCTGATGGCTCCCAGGAGACTTGAAACCAGAGGAGCAGTGGGCAGGGACAGCTTGTCAGGAGCTAGCCCCTTGAACCTATCTCCAAGGGCCCTCCTTTTGCCGCTGTAACTTCCTTTCCTAAGCCCACACAGCCCAGCCTGGCTCACTTAGTTACTATGACCTCCTTTTCTGAGTCTAGGCAGCCTAGTCTAAGCTTTCTCTTGTTGCCATGATCTTGCCTCTTCTATCTTAAACCTTTCCTTTGTTTCTCTGTCGCTAGCTTTAATTATTACCTGGATGGGTGTCGTGAAATCTTTCCTGCACAAAGTGAAGAAGCACACATTTCAGACCACACCAGGACAGACCCACCTTGGTCCTGGTTCCTTTCCAGAATTAGGATTTGAACACAAATCACCTAATTCCAAAGCTGTCCTTTTCCCACTATTTATAATACAGCTTCCTCTTTATTCTGACTCAAAATCTCAATTTGAGATTGAACAAAGTATAATAGTAATTGAAAGATGAAGTGCATGTCCATTTGGTTAAGACTAGATTGGTTGTTTTTCAGAGTCCTTGTTGTTTTCTCTTTATTTTTTCTCTTTCATTGTATCACCTGTCAGCTCACATTGGAAAAGTTCTGAATCTAGATCTCTAGTTTTGAATCTTGACCCTACTTCTAAGTTGTAGTCCCCCATTTCTCCTTAGATACTCTACCATCACCTCAAATGTCACATGTTTACAATTAAACTTATTATATCCTCCTCCAAACTGACTCCTCCTTCTAATTTAATTCTTAGTCATTTAGGCTCTAACTTTAGAGCCATCTTTGAATCCTCTGTAAAACTAGTGGTTGAACTCAATGATACATAATATTCCTTCCAGCCCTAAAATTCTAGTGCTATTATTGGACATGCACAGTCTAAATGAATTCCTTTCTCTAGTTTGGATCTGCTCAAATTATTTTCTAGAGTTTCTCAATATCTGGTAGAGTGTATCCACTCACCCATTCTTATGCATCCTTCAAAGCTCGTTTTAAGTACTAACTCTTTCTGTAAATCCTTCATGAGCCTCCCAGCTGGGAGTCATAGTAATTGCTGTCTCCCTCAGGATTTATAATGCTTTTGTTCCTTTCTCATGGTACTCTATAGTACCCTACATGTGTGCCTGTGCACACACACACACACACACACACACACACTCACTCACTCACTTGTATGTAGCAAGTGCGGTCAGGAGGGATGCTTGGCAAGGATGGAGTCTGAACAGGGTGGGGAGGGCACAGGCTGGGCATAGGCACAGGTTTGAGAGCAGGGGTAAGTAAGGAAAGAGAAAGAGGACTTATGGTGTAATTTTGGATTTTTAAGATCTTGCTGGGGTAAGAGCAGCATCCTTCAAAGGTAGAGATGGCAGCTGTGGTGATGGCTTAAATATAGGGAAGGTGTTCCACAAGTAAACACCCAAGAACAATAGGATCCAGGTTTCTCTCTGTAAGAGGGAAGGATTATAAATATGGAAGGAAAAAAAAAAAACTATAACAAACTGTGATGCTGCATTGGAGGTATTATTGTGAACATATAGTTTTTTAATATATATTATTCAATAAAGATATATAGCTTTAAATGTGTGAGCATACGTATATAGATGCACTGTATGTGAGTGCACAATTTTCCCTAGCTGCACCTACTAACACAGCCTAAGCAGTGATACCCCAATAACAGTGAGCTCACCTATTGTTTCTAAATACCTTTCTTCACTGACAGGAACCAGGGCTCCTCGATGAATGGCTGCATCCAGAGCTGGGCAAGATGAACCTGGAACGTCTTATTGAGCCAGAAAGTAAGAGATGGCTCAAGAGTGATGGAGGGTGTCGAAAAGGCACGGACTAGTAAAATGTTAATGAAGAATATGGTGAGTATATGATATATACAACTTTTCCAAATTTTCTGTATTTTAAAAATGTTTTACAATAAAAAGCTGTGAACGAATTTCTTATGAAAGGATTTAAAACAAGACACAGAAGCCAGCATAAATGGGGCTCTCTTTGACCAAACTTGGGACAATTTGAACATCAAAATAATGATAGCCTTGGCCTGGTGGTTCAGTTGTTTGGAGCATTGTGCCACATACAGAAAGGTAAGAAAAACATATCCTTATGTGAGGATTAAAATAACTAGATGATTAAATAAATAATGATATAAACAGATTATAATCCATTAAGATAAGGTGACCAGGCGTCCCGCTTTTGGCGGGACAGTCCCGATTTCTAACAATCTGTCCCGCGGCGCTTAAAAAAAAAAAGTCCCAATTTTAAAATGCCGCGGGCCGCGGGACAAATTGTTAAAAATCGGGACTGTCCCGCCAAAGGCGTGACGTCTGGTCACCTTACATTAAGTAGGAAAATGAATTCATACTGATATAAATTAAAAGTTAGATGAGAAACAAAAAAAAGACTTAGCTAGTTTCAAAGGATGTCCCTTATAAAATACATACTAATTACCAAGTGGAAAAAGTAATTTTACAGTGAAGTCTGACACCACCTTATTAAAATAAGCATCAATAATGAGACAAATTCCAATAATATGCCACCGGATAGAATGCAGTGAGAACACAGCATCACTTCCTGTCAAAGATCCCTACCCTGAATCTAATCATGAGTAACATCAGACAAATGCAAAGTGAAAGCCATTCTATAAAAAATAGGCTGGGGATCTTCAAAAATGTCAACATTATAAAAGTCAAGGAAAGACCGAGGAAGTGCTCCATCGTGAAGGCAACTCCAATTGCATGACAAGTAAATTTAATGCTTGCTGCTGGAGTGAATTCTTTCACCAAAAAGAATATTATTGGGACGATTGTCAAAACCCATCACATAAATGTTTTGATTTTACTATAGTTATAGTGTGATTATGTAGTATAGGGTACTTATTATTAGGACACATGCTAAAGTACTTAGTAACAATGTGACATTGTGTCAGCAACTTAAATCTCAAATAGTTCTGGGGGGGAAAAATGTTCTTTGTACTATACTTGCAACATTTTTGTAAGCTTGAAACTGTTTTATTATTTTTTAAAATATATTTTTATTGATTTTTTACAGAGAGGAAGGGAGAGAGATAGAGACTTAGAAACATTGATGAGAGAGAAGCATCAAACAGCTACCTCCTGCACACCTTCCATTAAGGCAGCGTTTTTCAACCGCTGTTCCGTGGCACACTAGTGTGCCGCGAGATGTTGCCTGGTGTGCCGTAGGTGCAGACAAAACAAGAATTTTATAATTTTTCACTATTTTGTTTACTTAATATTTCATAATAAAGTAATTATAAAATACTTTCTTCGTGTTTATTTGATTCCTATTCAAGAGAATTACTTTATTTATAGTCAATATAGGCACAGAGTTAAATTTTTTAACATTTTCTAATGGTGGTGTGCCTCGTGATTTTTTTCATGAAACAAGTGTGCCTTTGCCCAAAAAAGGTTGAAAAACACTGCATTAAGGATGTGCCCGCAACCAAGGTACATGCCCTTGACTGGAATCGTACCTGGGACCCTTCAGTCCCCAGGCCAACACTCTATCCACTAAGCCAAACCAGCTAGGGCAAGACTGTTTTAAAATAAAATTTTTAAAAATTACTTTCAAAAGACTGAGTATACTGGAAACATGCACTTGACTTGGAACCAAAGCTGTTTGCCCCAATTCCACCATTGATTCAGGCTGTAAAAGGAGGAGATAGGGCATTCTAGAATCACTCCCCCCTCTAACATTCCCCCATCTGCACTGTGAAAGAATTTCAATCTGAAATAGGACCAGAGAATATAAGATGGGGAATCTCAGGCATGTGCCCTCAGGAAGACAACATTTAAGGATAAGAGACTGATTTTCCTTAAATACCTTTTTTTACGGAAAACTGAGTGTTACACTTTCTTGGAGAGGTGAGGTGGGGCCAGATGTCTCATATCAGGCTTGGGAAGTTTTGCCAGGGGCACAAACAGGAGATGACCCAGGTCAGGTGGGTCTTGCAAAGCAGGTGGAATTTAGCCATATTTGTGTGACTGGGGTGGTTTTGTCTATTCATAAATTTTCAAGGCTCCTGGATAAATGGCTGCATCCAGGGCTGGGGCAGGATGAGCCTGGGCCAGAAAGTAAGAGTGCTCTGAGAATGATGGAGGCGTGTCAGAAGGGCGCAGAAGTAAAATGTGAGTGTAGACTGTGGATAATGAGTATATGGTATATGCTACTCTTTCACATTTTCTGTATTTAAAATATGTTTTGCAATATCACACAAAAAAAATTTTTTTTTACAAAAGAATTTAAACCACACACAAAGACACAGAGCCGGCATAAATGGGGGAACTCTTTGGTGTTTATTTTTATTTATTTATTTATTTATTTATTTATTTATTTATTTTGTGTGTGTGTGTGTGTGTGTATGTTTTTATTTTATTTTATTTATTTTTATTTTTTATTTTATTTTGTGTGTGTGTGTGTGTGTGTGTTTATTTTATTTTATTTATTTTTTTATTTTTTGCAAAAACTTAAAAATGTATTTAGTTAGAAATCACCTAAGCCCTCTCGGAAAGCAATTCCATTAAGATCATTGATTGGGAGGAAAATCACGCTATTAAAGGCAGAAGCAGAGACGCCAGATTGACGCACAGAGACGATGCTCATTTAGGACCCGGGCACACGACCACGTGGCAGAGGACATGGTGGCGAAGGTTCAGTTCAAGATCCAGAACTAGAAATAGGTCAGCTCGTCCTGCTTGGTCTTGTTGGTCTGGTAGTCGTGCAAGGCCAAGGCCTTGCTTTCATGAGGGAGACTCTGAAACACGCGGATGTGCACGAAGTCATCATCTTCAACTTGAACCTTGATGAAGTAGTTAGTCCCCGCGACCAGCTGGCTCTTGTACTCCGTGGCCTTGAACGTGGGGTACTTCTTGTTTGCCTTCTCCTCCAGCTGGGGCTTCACCTTGTCGGCGATGGCCTGGATCTCGGCCGTGGCGGGCTTGGCGGCGGAGGTGCCACCGCACAGCATCTTGGCGGAGCTGCGGGCACGGGGCTGGGAGCGGCGGGCACGGAGGGGCTCGGCCTGGAGTGAGATCAGCAGCGGAGACGGTGGCAGCTGAGCTGTGAGCTCGGCCTCCCTCTTACACCCGCCGGCAGCTGACGCGGGCGGAGCCGCGGGGAGGAGGCGGTCCGGCGGGCGGGGCGGGGCGCTCGGGCCGCTTGGGGGTGGGGTGGGGTGGAGTGTGGGTGGGGTCGGGGTGGGGGGCCATCCGTGTGTGTGTGTGTGTGTGTGTTTTAAATCTTAGCTTTCTCTGAACTCTCCCCTTTTCACATTTTCTGCTCTTAAATAACAGCCTATCCCAAACCCTCCACGGACTCTCCTGTAGCTTGTTGCTAGTAGTTTGCTTGTCACAGTAGCAATTCCTCAGCTATTCCCAAATAAAGTCATTTTCTTTTTCTTGTTTTTAGCCTGCCTCCGTTTGCATCTTCATTCAGGTCAACCACACCCATAGCCCTCCCTGCCTAAATTTCTCCAGGCGTAGACTTCGGATGCCCCGTGGCCGCCCTCCAAGGATGCTGGCTGGTGATAAAACAAAAAACAAACAAACAGACAACAGTAGTGGTGGTCATTCTCTCTGGACCGCAAAGCCCCTGCCCGGCCTCAGAGTGGACCACAGGGTCCTCCATCGCTCTCTCGGCGGTGGAGCAGTCACGCCTGCCAGAGTGGGCGCTCGATGGCTCGGCGGCCGGCTGGCGGGCCTGGGGGCTCGGGGCGGGGCGGGGCCGGGGACTCCGAGCCTGGCGGCCCCGCCCCGCGCGCGCCCCTCCCGCCTCCCTGCCGCCGCCGCCGCCGCCTGCCAGTCCCAGCGCGGAGAAGCCGGTGTCGTAGCGGGACTGGGACTTGCGCTGAGCCGTGGGGGACCCCTCGCGGGACGAGCAGTGGGGATCCCGGGAGTGGAGGGGCTGCCGCGCGCGGGGCGGGGTGCGGGCTGCCTGCCGGCCGGAGGGACCGCGCACGGGCCTGCAGGGTGAGTGGAGCAGCGGGGAGGACCTCGGGGCGGCGGCCGCAGCGAGGGGGTGGCGGAGCCGGGACCCCGCGTGTGGGAGCCGGCGGGGGGGTTAGTGACAGGGCCTGCGGGCCGGGCTGAGCGGGGCGCGGGGACGGCGGACACAGCCCGCGCCGTCCGTCCGCACTCCCTCCGGCGGCGGGGAAGCCGCGCCGCTCCCGGCACAACAGGTAGGCGTGGACTCTGCCCGCGGGCGGGAGCCGCGCGTCGGGAAGGTCGGGAGGTCGGAGCTCGCCCCGCCGGCCGGCCGCTCCCGGCCCCGCCCCGGCTACGCCCGCCGGCCCCGACCGGCTTGGGACGCGGCTGTCCGGGCGCCGCGCGCTGCCCCCGGGGTGCGTCCCCAGAGGCGGCGGTGGAGGGACCGCGGGGGGCTCTGTCCAGCCCGCGGGGAGGGAAGCGTCTGCCGGGGTGACCTGAGCTCCGCTGGAGGAAATTGCACTGCTCTGGGCCAGCGCGGCGTCATTCCAAGTCGTTGTAAAGTCTTAGAAACTCACACGGCGCTGTAGGGTGCGAGCCCGTGAGGATTTCAGAAATTGGCAAGTCAGAAAGTAGTTGTCAGAGGGATGGGAGTCCCCTCATTAAAAGTCACAATTAAACTTTGTTTTAGGTACACTGTTCAGATAGTTAACGCCTTGGACGCGCCCTTAAGAAACGTACGGCCTAGAGAAGATGTGAAAAGGAGGGGGAGATCGGGAAGGGGTGTCCCAAGTACCGTTCAGAAGCAGAAGGTTCAATGACACATGTATTTTTTTTTTTAAGTTTTATTGAGTCTTTTGTGTTTCATTAGTTATCCACAGTATATTGAGGGGTTTGAACCGTCCTTGAATCAGGACCATGATTCTCCTATAGTAAAAGCGCTTCTGCATTTTAAGGAGACTACAGAAACTGTCATTAAACTCCACTTAAGAAATGAATTAATGGAGTCCTTAGGAATTAATAAAGATTTGTTTATGGATTTAATTGAATCCCTTGTCTAGTTCTAGTGTTTAAAGTCTTTGGCATAGACCAGGTGTCAACAGCTGACAGCGTGTGGGTCAAATCCAGCCTGCTGCCAGGGTTTGTAGATTTTATGGCTGTTTATGCATCGTTTATGTGGGATAGAGACTGTGTGGCTCACAAAGCCTAAAGCCTCTCCTGTACTTGACAGAAAAAAAATTTGCCATACCCTGGACTAGACTAGACTTCTAAACTCTTAACCAGTAGGTCTTTTTTGTAGGAGGAAAAGGTTAAGTTCAGTTTTAATGATTAATCTTGCTTTTTCATATTATGTCAAGTAAACTGTATTGTTTCGGGATCCTAGATGTGTAATGAGGGAAGAGGGGCATGGTTTTTCTGTTACATTTGCTTAGAATAAAGATTTTTAACCTTAACAAAGTTAGTCTTTTGGTAAGGCTAGAGAGAGGAAAGGATTTTTATGTTTCTTTAACAACTTTATAATTGTTAGTTTTCATTTAGATCTGGTGTGGAAAGTTTTTTTTTCATTTAGTAAACTCTTTAACATATCATTCATGGTGTATATCACAAGTAACAGTAAGTTACTTTTTTTTTACATGAATTCTATGATATAGCAGTGTAACTGTAACTATGAACATGAAGTCAAATGTTTATCTACAGTAAGACCCAAATGGGAAACTAGAACTCTCTAAGAAGATATCCAACCTACTGAAAATGGAGCATGCATCCTGAGTCATGCTTGGGCTTTTTGCTTTTTTTTAAGCAGTAACAATAGAAAAGGTAAATATTTCTAGAAAAGAAAAATAACATATCCATATTAAAGCACTATGTTAATGTCACCAACCTAAGAAATTAGAGCTAGGTATGTTATAGGAAAGAGGAAAAACTTGTAAGAAGTGACAATTCTAAATATTTAAAGCTCAGCATATACTATTTTTAATCTTAAAACCATGGTATGGTTCTAATTGCATTAAATAAGATGTTTTATATGTGTACTTTTCATTTTTAAAAATATATTTTTATTGATTTCAGAGAGGAAAGGAGAGAGAATGACAGATGAAAGAATCATTGATTGGCTGCCTCCTGCATGCCCCCTACTGGTTATCTAGCTAGCCCACAATCTAGGCATATGCCCTTGACAGAAATCAAACCCAGGACCCTTCAATCCACAGGCTAATGTTCTATCCACTGAGCCAAACCAGCTAGGACTTATATATGTACTTCATCAATAACTTAGTTATACTTATTGCCCAGATAATGCTTCTTTATTGATTAATTACCAATATCTAACAGTTATACAGTAGCATGTATCTGTATCCTCTTCTGTTGCATTTGTAGGTTTCTATATGTTGAAATATGCTTGTTTTTGTGCATATATATGCAAAATAATACCTCATTTATTTAGTATATTCTTTATGTAATAAAAATAACAGAAAATTGAAATTACCCATTGAAACACTAAAACAAATTTTTGTTTGTTTAATCTTCATTTGAGGATATTTTTTCCATTGCTTTTTAGACAGAGTGGAAGGAAGGGGGAGAGACAGAGACAGAGAAACATTGATGTGAGAGAGACACATCGATTCGTTGCTTCCTGATTGGTTGCCCCCACAAGTACCCTGACCCAGGCCAGGGATGGAGCCTGCAACAAAGGTACATGCCTGTGACTGGAATCAAACCCAGGACCCTTTAGTCCACAGTCCCAAGCTCCAACCACTGAGCCAAACTTGTCAGGACCCCAAGAAATATTTTTTAAAATTTTGTGGAGGAAATATGAAAAGCAAAAACCATACATACATGGTTAAAAATTTCTTGATCTTAAACAGAATTCCAAGTTCTCTGAAAAGTTTTTTTCTTAATTCATTTGACAGGAAAACATGACCTGAAATAAGAAGCTATTTAGAGTCATTTTTTAACCCCACCGTATGTGACTATGTTCATCTTTTGCTGCAGAAATATCAGTGAGTTTGATTATGGCATGCTGCCCCAGACCCACTTGGGGCTAGAGTAATAGATGGTAATACACTATATTATTTGGGTGGGCTATGGCAGTCATAACCAAAAGGCAGGGTAATAAGAGAGTTGTTCTAGGAAGCTATACTTGCAAAGCTGGGCACCTGGCAAGGAGTGAGAAAGAAGTCTGCCAGGAAAACCCCTCGGGGAGGAATACAGGAGGGTAAGACATGTACCTAAATTCTAGGCAAGATATATCCCATACGGCATGTTGTCGGAAGGGATCATGAGGAAAGCCAAAATGTCAGACCATAGTGCAGATTAAGGGTGAATCTGAATGCTCACCAAGAAGTAAGAGCCATGCCCGGCCTATGTGGCTGTTGGTTTGAAATGTCTTCCCGTGCATCAAGAGGTGGCTGGCTGGATACCCCATCAGGGCACATGCCCCTGTTCCACAGGCTCAATCCCCAGTAGGGAGCATACAGGAGGCAGGCAATCGATGTTTCTTTTTGAGGGTTATATTTCTCTCTTCCCTTTCTTCCTCTTTCTAAAAAACAACATTGTTGGCTAGTTGCTCAGAGGTTAAAGCGTCAGCCCACGACTGTGGGTTCAATTCCGTCAGTGACCCATACCTATATTGTTGGTTCTATCCTCAGCCCATTGGGGCATGTGCAAGCCAACCAATTATTGTGTCCCTTTCATGTCTTTGATCTCCCTCCCTCTCTCTCTATCTCTATCTCTCTTTCTCTCTTCCCCCCCATCTCTCTCCCAACCTCCCTCCCTCTCTCTTCCTCTCCCTCTCCCTTCATCCCTCCTTTCCACTCTCTGTAAAAATCAATGGAAAAAATATCCTCAGTAAGGATTTTTTTTAAAAAACAACATATTAAAAAAAAGATGATGTAAGAGCCATGAACAGTTAGAAGGAGGACATTCTAAAGAAGGCAGTGTCTATTGGCTGAACTAGGAAATCCTATGTGGCAGATTGCATGAACAGCAAATATAAGGATAAAGTTACTTTGAAAAATTGAGCAAGGATTCCTGGCCTCTGCTGAGTCAAGGGAATAATGGCATTTTGCATACTTGGCTCTCGTACTAAGTAGCCCT